TTTTATATAGTTTTCAAGTAAAGAGTTCTCTTAAAGGAGCTGATTGAGCAATCACTCACTTTGGCATTGGTACTCAGTGCATTGTGAACAACATACTTCACAAATGACCTCAGGTTGTCTGCCTTCTCAGAAGCAAGACCAGAAACAAAGGAATTGCTGTCTGTCTGTCCTCCAGTACTCATTTCCACAAATGAGGACAGACTACAGGAACAATTTTCTACTCCAATGATCATTAAAAAGCATTATTAGCAGACATCAAGCAAGGAGGGTAATTTTTAGATAACAATATCAAATTGTACTATGATAACATGGAAACCATCTCTAACCATTATTACACTTAACCGACACCACCAGCAGAATTCAAATTTCACTGCCCTTATTCTGACAAGTCCAATAGATCATTGTTAGGCTGGCCTGTCCAGCATCTCCTTGCTGTGGCTGTGTCCTCTCTCCACCCCAAAGGTCCTGGATCTACGCCCCCGCCTATTCTTTCCTCTCTCTCTTCCATCAATGTCTGTTCTTTAACAGTCATTCACACATTAGTGCTTAAGTCCTTGATCATAGCTTTATTTTTTACCTATTTCTGGTGCAGATACGTTTTAAAGCACGTTAGTAATTAAAGAAATAAACAATTACTTTCTCCTTTTTATTTTAGAAATTACTCTAGTTTTATCATTGTATGAAGATTTCTAGATTTGGCAGCTGATAAATATATTGTGTGATTTGTGACTTTTGCTTTGATCATTTGTTATGCTTTGAAGTGTAGTGGAGTTCTGTTTTACTATGTTTGCCAAATGAAAGCAATGAAGATGATGTCATTGTCGAATAAGTACACTTGTCCATCCCACCTGTCTCATATTCTTGTACTATATGTGCCCCTGTAAAATACCCATGTCTACCTTATCATTTACTCTATAATTAAAATCAGATAATATGTTTTAGCATCATGAATGTTCTCTGGGTTTGGGACATGACACTTCTGATCTATGCTCATGTATCCTGATTAGGAGAAAAGATGTTTTTAAGTTTCTAGCATGACCATTTCAACAGGATATAGCTAACCCTCTGGAAATGATGAAAGCCTACACAAGGAGGAAATCACGCTATGCACTGAAGACAGTCTATGACATTTTACTTGTTAAAATATTCAAAAATCAACCTGATGGACACAAAAAATCATGTTAAGTAGATTTCTTACTTTTCTTGCTTTAAACTGTTACTTCTCTTTTAAAACTTGCTTTTAAAATGACGACTCCATTATCTTAAGAGGCATTTCACGATGTATTTGCAAAATTACAGTGCCCTTAGGTTATCCGGGTCACCTGGATAAAGGATTCCTGACACACCAAGATTGTTTCTAAACCTCTTCAGTGGAGACTGAGTAGATGTCCTTTCCTTGCTGACTACAGGCTTTATTCACATCTGGCCTGACTCTCCCCGCGCCCCCCCCCCACCAGCATTCTGAGCATACTTCCTGCTCTGTGGCCTCAGAAGAGAGAAACGATCATTATCGATCCTCACCCATAGTACACAAAAGCTACTGCTCAGAAGGAGTGAAAATAACCGTCCAGCTTTTACTTAAATAAATCGTAAAACTATTCCAACACGTAAAAGTACCCAGGTACAGAATTCAGAGCTTAATTTTACAGTGAATTATGAATATAAAAAGCAAATTTAATGTATTGTACTGATTATAGGAGGATCTGAACTGAGTTGCTTAGCTAAAACCTTGATCTTCCCACCACAACACTCAACTACTAACACATTACTATTGCCAAAGTTACTGAGTCTTTAAATATTTTAAGTGTAATAGAGACTTAGAGATGGTTTCCATGTCACCATAGTGCAGTTGAATATCGTTTCTTAAAACTTACCCTCCTTTCTCAGTATCTGCTAGTAATATTTATTAACAGTGACAGTAATCCAAAATTATCCCCATAGTTCTTCCTAAGTTTAAGAAGTGAGCAAAGGAGAAAGATGAGAGAGGGAAAGCACATCCTTCATTTCTGAGCTTCCATATGAAATGGCAGTGGACGGTCATATCTTTAAGTCTTTGGTTGAAAATGTAGGCCAATTACAACTCCAAAAAATAATTGGTCAATGTTTATATTCTGCTCCCTCAAAACAAATATTCAGAAATTATAAACTGATACATGCATTTTAATATATTTTAATTTGGAGGGTGATTTGGAATTATTTTATCTAAAGCAGCATAGGGTACATTATACTCAATTGGATACGTAGGAACATTGTGTATCATGATTATCTGTATGTCCACTAACCATATGCCACTAACTGTGAGGGCAGATTCAATGTCTACCTTGCTGAGTAGCTTTCGCTGTGTACACAACAGGTGATCACAAAGTATGTGCTAAATGAGTTAGTGAGCCAAATGAGCTTACAGAAATGACAAACATACTTGATAAGCGTGGGGCCATGAGAATGTGCCCTGCAGACCTCCAACTCCGGGAGAGTAATCAACCAAGGGCTCCAGCTGCCAGGCTTTAATGTCTGTTGTCCTACTTGGGACAAGGCCATGCTTCCCATGGGCTGCTCCCAGCAATGGCTGAGTACAGCAGGGATTCTAAGGCAGGCCCAATCCTGGGAAAGACAGGACTCCTTTGATGGCTGACTTTGACTCAAGGGTTCCCCAAAGACTCTTCAACCTAGCGGTCTAGGATACTTCTGTCTCACTTCTCTCCCTCTCTCCTTCCTTTGGAGGCAGAGCTGCATAGCCATCTGACAACTCTGTCAGTCTTGGCCAGCTCCCTCCCCACTTTCTGTTTCACAAGTGCTCCCTTAATAAAATCCTCACATGGTTAATTTTGTCTTGGCAATTGCTTCTTGGAGGACCCAGATGAACACAGTAAGAAACTTCAAGATTGAGCAACTCTCTGGAAAATTAATAGCTCCATTTTAGCAACCATTTCACCACAAATTAATATCTATATTAAAATATAACATACTACATAACATTTTATTGTAAATTCATATACCACACCAAATCTGATCATAAATTATTGGTCTCTTTTGAATTACAAATGATTTGAATGTAACATTAGTCCTCGGTCAAGATGCACACGTTAGGTCCATGCCAAATAAATTCTTACACTTTTAGGAGAATGACTTGATTCAGACTATAAAGTTCATTGCTGAATTTGGACTTTAATCTTATTTTTCATCATGAGTGACGTGCATTTTAATAATATGCTATTCTTGAATAAAAACATTAACATCTTTAATTCCATACTAATCTCCCCTATTCATTTACAAAAGGGGGAACAAATATTTATATAACGAATGTTACCATTCTACTGTTTGACTAATGCAATCCTCCTCATTGAATGCAGATCAGTTTCCCAACTGTTTTATAATATATTTAACATATTGCTACTCACAAAATACATTTTCATCAGTAACTCTGGCATTAAAGTTGAAGACATTATTTCTTCAAAAATATGATTCTTCAACATTCTGCATAATTGTTAGGATTTTCTATCTTGTATTAATACATTTTTATGCAATGTCTCATCTCAGACCTTACTAGAGTGAGAAACTGCTGATCAGGATTTGTTTTATTTACTTGATTTTTTTATTAGTATAGTTGAATTTATATAATTTACACTAGGAAACTCACTTGGAATTTTTCAGTTAAGTTTCTAAATATCCAAGTAATTCTTTGCATGCATTTTTTATGTCCGCGATAGCATACCGGAAGAACATTGCTATTCAGAATATTTCCCATTTGTTTGGAGAATAGGAGCACACAATTTTGGTGCTCATCATTGTACTAGAAAGCCTATAAATATTTATAAACTTAACTATCAATCTTCTCAAGGGCCAATATTTTGATCATTCATCCACAGGTTTAATCAAACATTCTCAAGATTCAGATATTATGTCCAGGGAATGTAAGGGATGATTAATCAAGGTACGAATAACTGGAAAGGTCAAGAAAAGAAAGATACCATTTACTATCTTCGACGAAACACTCCAGGTTGGTGTCAAATATCAAACTGGGAATGAGAAGCAGACAAGAAGAAGCCCTCCACCCCCACCACTATCAACGCTCTTTATAATTCACTTATAACTAAAAAGAAAATCCCTTTTAAAATGCGCTGTCCCCTTTTCAATTTAGTCCTTGTTGGCAAGTATAAAAATAAATGCTTACGTACTTTGAGGTCAAAACGGCAAGAGAACGTTTCTACTTCAGTGCTGTTATCAGAGGTAATTGGTGGATATAAATAAGAACTATAAGACATTTAGATTGGGTTCTAGTAAGAGTGGCTGGCCACCAGGACATCTCCACGAGGCAAACAGGATCCACGCCATAACCTAAAGCCTATTCACTAACTGGAAGAAAAGCAATTGCTTCCTCCTCCCTGTTTCTTTTATACTTAATCCTAGTTTTATCATTAGATGATGGTTTGTATATTTGGCAGCTGACTGATACATAGTTTATTTCTATTTATTATTTGACTTTTCTTTTGCTGAAGAAGATTTGCCCTGAACTAACATCTGTGCCAATCTTCCTCTATTTTGTATATGGGTCACTGCCACAGCATGGCTGATGAGTGGTGTAGGTCCGCACCCAGGATCCAAACACACAAACTCAGGCTGCCGAAGCAGAGTGCACCAAACTTAACCACCATGTTACGGGACTGGCCCCTATTATTTGATATTTTTGAAGTATGGGAACAATATCAAGTTTCATCATGCTGGACTGATGCATGGCAGAGACCAGAGTGGCATTACTAGGAAAGGAAGATGCTTGCTCATCCCACAGGAAGTCCATACTCACAATTTCATATACCTCTGAGAAAGTACAGTTTCTGCCTTGATTATCACTCAGTTCATAATTTAAATAAGGCAACAGATTTCTTTTCTCATGATGAATATGTGTGTGCATGTGTGTGCATGTGTGTGTGTGTCTGGAGTAGGACCCTTCTGATCCATGTTTTTGCACCACGATTAGGGGAAAGGTCATTCCTTTTACTTACCTAAAATCCTGCCCAGTACAAGAGATTTGACTGCACTGAATTCTGTACCTGATGACAAGTGGACTTGTCTCCTTGCATTCTCATCAATCTACAAAATTGTTACACGAGATGCAAACGTCCAAATGGATGCCATTTTGTTGAGAAAAGGACAGGAAGCAAAGGAAGACAAAAGAAAATGATGAAATAGGCAATTGTTAGTATGGCCTCAAAGATTTAGGAAAACAAATTTTAAAGAGTTAGCCATTTTAAAAGTGAATTATTATTTTCTAAACTACTTCTAATCTACCCTCAGATACCAGTGTACTCCACTTTATCCCCTTACATCATTTTATTTTTCTCCGCTGCATAAGAAATCCAAAATTGATCAAGCCAACCAAAAGATATGAGTTTTTTTCACCTTGATATTTTTACTTAGCTTGGTATTTTTACTTGAGTCATTCAGCTAAGAAATTTTCCTCTCAGTAGAGAGCTGAAACATTAGTGCTTTTTCCTCAAAAGCTAGTGAAGTGAATAATTCCACTTCCTCTGCTGTGACTCACATCATTTTTTAAGGTAGTCTGATATTGCAATAATTAATTTGTATGCTAGAATTGTGGCTGCATTTATACCCATCTGAAGTAAACTGGTTTCCTTAGAGTAAGGATAGTCCTCCCAGTAGACACTATGATAAACTAGACAGCATTTCCCTCCTGAGCAAAGTAAAATAAATGAGGAAAGTTCGGCATTTTTAAGTATCAAATATTAATAACATCTTGGACAGCATTTTATTGCTTAAAAAACCCTGACCACATTTGACGGTCTGTCAATGATCAGGGCAAGAACTGCTCTGAAAGAATGCCTATGCTTATTCTAGTAGTTGTCAAGTGTCTGCTATAGGTCCTTCACGTTGGGGAGTCATAATTATAAACATGGCTTCTGTTGAATTTGCTATATTACCTCTACAAAGACCACTCCTTCTTCTCTGTTAATCTGCATGTGGTGAAGCTGCCCGTCAGCCATGTTTTTGAAACCAAAGTTAACCACATCAGGTTCTTGATACCTATTTAGCTTGTACCTGATCTGCAAACTTCCTAAGGTAGACAAAAGAAATTACATTTTTAGTTAAAATTGTATTTTCAGAACTACTTATAAAAATTCAGAGTCCTTTCTTTTTGTTATTTATTCATTTCTGGGGAAAATTTCACAATAGCTCATTTGGATGTACTCTCTCATCAGAATTCCTAGTAGTCAGTTTCTACGTGAAATGGCACCATTTTCAAAATCAAGACCAAGCATGTTGGTAATAAGTAGTCTCTTTCCTGCAAATCTTTAATTTTTTTCCTTAGAAGTCAAATACGCAATTAAGCATATGCAAATCTCTGTATTAGCTTTAACTTAAAAAAATAAGACAGTAGATTATGAAATGCTAGACTATCGTGGAATATTGCAATACTTTCTGCTTCTATAATCTCATCTTTTTAAAAATCTATCTACTACTCCTAAAATGCAACTGATTAATGGTATTGTAACAAGCAAACATATTTTACTAAAGATAAGAAATATTTCCAAGTAATCATGGTCATAAATTCTGTGATGAAATTAGGGTGCAATGAACGGTTTTAAGCCAAATTTACTATTAGAATTGATACTATTCAATTGCCTGCAAAGGTGTAAATTAACTTTCTTCACAGGAGATCTTCCAATTTAAAAAAAAGAAAATGTCCTAATGTATAGATAAGCTTCAAGCTTGAAGCGTATACAGTGAGGATAAAGATACTTATTGAATAGTGTTTTTATTTTGGTGTTCAGTGCCCTTGGGCTACATCTAATTTAGTTGAAATGATATAGTCACATGTTTGTAAGTTTGTAAATTATTTTTTGCTGAGGAAAATTCTAACAGCTAACATTTGCTGCCAATCTCTCTATTTTTGCTTGAGGAAGATTTGCCCTGAGCTAACATCTGTGCCAGTCATCCTCTATTTTGTATGTGGGTTGCTGCCACAGTGTGGCTGCCAACCAGTGATGTAGGTGTGCACCCGGGAACTGAAGAAAAGCACGCCAAACTTAACCACTAGGCCATGGGGCCAGCCCCTAAAATTTTTATCTTTAAACTGGATATATGGAAGAGAAAAACAGCATCAGGTGGGTTTCTGTGACAAAGTTTCTGTAGCATACACACACCCCAATCCAAATGCCACTACCCTGCAATGATATACCAGCATCTCCCATGACTTTTACTGTTTATAATTAGAAACTTGAGCTGACGTTATTTTGTTGGTTTGTCAGCCTGACATTGTCTCATAACAATGCTAGTTTGTTAACATCCCCTCAAAACCTCTCCTTTGATTTGAAGGAAATATTTGTTATGTAGAAATAGGCATCTTATTTCAAAATGAACCACAAAACGGATACTGACAGTCACATGGAATAGTAAAGAGCTTCTAGCAATAGTAAAATATAAGAAATATTTTATATAAGTAAATTAAAAATTCACACTGAATATGTAAAATTATCAAAATTATAAAGAGAGAAAGCCATCTTATTTTAAATAATCCTTGTAGATTAAATTTATAGGACAGTCCTGAAAAAACAAAATGAATACAAAAAACAGGCATACCTTCTTTCCTGTTTGTAGTTTAAGAAGCAACAACATGAGAAAGATCCATTTTTTCGTTATTTTTTTTTTTTTTTTTTTGCTGAGGAAGATTCGCCCTGAGCTAACATCTATTGCCAATCTTCCTCTTTTTGTATATGAGCTGCTGTCACAGCATGGCCACTGACAGATGAATGGTGTAGGTCCGTGCTCAGGAACCGAACCCGGGCCACCAAAGTGGAGTGCGCTGAACTTAATCACTAGGCCATCAGGGTTGGCCCAGAACCATATTATTATTGACCTACTGTTCTAACTCAGTTTTCCCTCTCTCATCTAAAAAGCACTCACCGTTTTTGGCAATGATAACTGAAAGGTATTCTTTATAAAAAGAGCTCAGATAAAGCAGTAAGCTCGGTGTTCGTGTTGTTCGGAAGCTAAATTTGATCATTTCTCTGCTCAGCTTCATATCACCGTGAAACGAAGCAGCATGGAAGCTGGAGTTTTTACTTAAGGAATAATTTTCCTGGAAATTGTAAATCACGGATGAGCCAGATCCAAAATATGCAGAAATCTCTGAAACGATATGCACATTTTATGTTAAAATATTAAATACAAGGATTTTGTTGTTATATTAATAGATATTTTTTCATTTTAAAAATAACTAGCCAAGGTTTTAAAAATAATTTTACTTATGTGATTAACATCCCAAATTCTCTCTCACACACACATCCCCCAAATATATATGTATAAAATAAAAAGGATGGTGGGAGGGGTAACAAGTTTGGATCTCTGAACTCTGCTTTCTCCATTACTATAAAGGGCCAGTTGTTGAACATGAGTTGTAGATGATGCTTACAGGGCCATACAGCAACGTCTCTACTCCCTCAGCACGTCAGGTCTTTTTTGTTTGTTTTATTAATGTTACTGTCTATAATATGCTTTTTATATTCAACATAACAAGACAACGCAGAATAAGATTTCTGATTGCATTTAGCAAGATGAAGTGGAAATCATGTAGATTCAGAAAATAAAGACCTGTTCTTGTGAAGAAGGGGTCTTGATTCTAACTTTAAACGTGAGAAGCCTCCTAGAATGATCGCAGGAGTGCTTGCATTACTATCACAGCTTGATTTTAAATTATAACTCATTCCTGATAAAAAGTAGATGGCTTGAAGAGTGCATTTTTGCCAACTTTTCATCAAATAATCCTAAGTGCTTTCTTTGCAAAGCAAAGGTTGCTTCCATTAGGAGCCAATTTTTGTTAGCCTCCTTCAGGAAAAGGTTTAGTAGGCCAGAAACACTTAAATAAAGCAAGTGAATTAAATTGGATGACAGTTTTCCATGAGGGGCTATGAAAGTATAGCAAATGTTTGTCTATTCAGAGAAGTCTGTCCAGAACACTTCATACTACACTCAGTTCTTTTTTTCTTCCATGACACAGATCAGTGAATAAGACAGGCTGAAAAATATTCCACCATTTTATGTCACCTACAGATATTCGACATATCATAGAGCAAAAGGCCTGAGTGGCTCTATTTTGTTACATATCAATATTTAATAGAAAAGTCGTATATATTCCGGAAAAAATATTTGTTTGAAAAACAAACAAAAAATAACAACAATACTTTCTAAATTTCCTTGCATTGTTGACTATCTTCGTCAAAAATAGCAAAAATGCCTTGAATGAGTTTAAGATAGAGAACTCCCATGGGGCGGGTTGTGGACAGTCATATTATTTAAGAGCGTCAACATTAGATAGAAAAAGGCAGACTGAGCAGCCAACACTTTAAGACACCTAGAGGCAACTATTAGAGGATTTATCATCCAAAGACACTAGGTTTTTAAGAATTGAGGCAAATATCTAAGTAACAAATGCAATTGGCATAAAATAGGTAATTTGCAAAAAAAAAAAAAAAAAAAAAGAGGAGTGGAAATATTTTTGTTTCAAATAACTACACAGAAAAGCTGTTCTATTCATCATGGACAAGTTTTCCCATTAGGACGCCCATGTCACACTTACCATCTGAGCAGAATGGCCCTGCATATGCAGAGAAGGTGCAGTCACAAGAGAACCCACTGGGCTTTTCTCTGCATTGGCCTCCATTGAGACACAGCTTTCCGTAGCTGCTGCAATGCCCTCTACAGCCCGGCTCCACTCCGGGGGTCACCTTGGCTCTTTCCTCCAGGTCCAGGGCCACTCCGTTCAGCTGCAGAGACCGAATGCATCCCAGAAAGCCCCTCTGTCTGGTGGCCGTTCCACCTAAAAGGGAAATACTGCAAATGGAAACATGTTCCTAGGTGTTTTATTCAGGATTTAAAGACCAAAGAAAACTGAGGCCTCACTGAGAATGGCAAAAATGGTGGCCTTACAGAGAATGGCAAAAATCAGATGCACAAATATAATTTTGAAAGCACAATTTGTGACGAAATGTTAAAAGGCTTCAAAAAGATAAAACATTAATTCATTTTTTCCAAAAGTTGAATTTATTACATATTTTGTATTCTTAAAAAAGAAGTATTAAACTTTCAGTTGGGGAGGGCTTGTTTTATTAGTCTCTTTATTTCAAAGAACAAAATAAAGGTTACATCTTCCTTTCATTCAAAATAACAGTGATATGTACTGATATTCTTATAGAGAAACTAGTTTTTTCGCAATTTTAAATAAGCGTATGTTTGTGGGTAAGTGTGGTTTGTCCTTCATATTAAAATCTGATCCTGATGCTGGCACAATTTTAATTTGGTGAAAATTATGAAGGAATCCTTGAGTTCTTCTAACTTGACTGTGCGCTGATGTGGTCTTTTGGCTGTTAAGAAAGTTGGTAATTGAGCGTCAGATTATTGGCTTTTGTCTGGTATATTTCCCAGTGATTTTTTTCTAAGTGTTGGTCCAGTGTTTATTGTTTTAAGCTTGGAAAGATTCTCAGCCAAACTGGGAAAGGGGACTAGTGAAGAGACAGACTGGTGTAACATTTATTGAATAAAACGCAACAATATGCATTTATCAAATCACCCTTAAGAGATTTACAATGTTTCAGTAGAATCAGACCCCATTATTATAAGGCGGAGGTTCTCAAACTTTTAAGGACTATGAGTATCATATGGAAGGCTTCTTAAAAATACAGACTCAGGGGGGCTGGCCCCGTGGCCGAGTGGTTAAGTTCGTGCGCTCCGCTGCAGGCGGCCCAGTGTTTCGTTAGTTCGAATCCTGGGCGCGGACATGGCACTGCTCATCAGACCACGCTGAGGCAGCGTCCCACATGCCACAACTAGAAGAACCCACAACAAAGAATACACAACTATGTACCGGGGGGCTTTGGGGAGAAAAAGGAAAAAAGAAAAAAATCTAAAAAAAAAAAAAAATACAGACTCAGGGGCTTGCTCCAAGAAATACTGATTCTGTACCCAGATACAGGGCTGTGAATCAGAAAATTCAAGAAGCCTCACAGGTGAATCTCATTCAGACAATCACTTGCCCACTACATTTTATGAACGCTGTCCTAATAGGAATGTAAGCTTCAGGTGGACTTTCACATAAATCTGTGTCCAGGAATTTCACCATAAAATAATGCTCAGAACTTGAAGTGGAAAATAGTAGCCTAATCTAAGTAATCTGGGCGATTCTACCGAGAAGCAGTTCATGGGGTCTCTAAAAAGGAGCTTCATCTTTGAAAAGGTGGTACTGCCTCACCTCCGGCATCTTAAACCTGCTCTGTTTCTCTCGTCCTCGAACATGTTCACTCCCTCCTCTCCCACTTCATTTAGCTAGCTCCTAATACAGCCTTAATTACCTAAGATCTCCTTATCCTCAGAGATTAAATAGGTTTCTCTTTGTCTTTCAGAGCCAAAACTTGGCCAGAATAAATAGGTCTAAGTAAATGCGTCTTTGTCATCATCTACCAGGCTTTACGTTTTACCAATTTACTTTGTATGTTATCAGTGCCCCTCAAATACACATTCAATAAAGGCTGCTGTATCTCCAGCACACGTAACAGTATCTGACATAAAACAGCTAGGCAACAATTGTTTATAATAATAACTAATTTGCAACTAACATTAATAATTAATTATTAATACTCAACTTGATATTAATAAATAATTAACACATTCATTAATTAAACTGGATTATACAGTGGGAGAGAGAGATGGGGGCTTGGTATGTCAAAGGCTGAAGAGAGGAACACCTTTTGCCCCACAGGGATGTTTGGGTCCCTGAGACTGAGAATGAGGATAAAACTCAATGGATATTTCTGAATAAGTTAATTCTATATTTTTGAATAATGAAATACCATGAAGAGGAAACTAAAACAATTCCTGAGAATTTTGGACTCATGGCACTAAAGCTATTTAGAATTCAGATTCATAGATATAATGGTCTCTAGTCAAATGACTGTATTTAAATTTCTGTATTCAAATTGCTCCAGTTTATAAAATTTGTGCCTCTTCAATGAAGAATATCAAAGTCTTAAGAATGTGGGTCATATTTTCTATTTATAAATCCAGATGCAGTACGGTATGGAGCCAGACATAGTCCAATTCCAGTTTATGTGGGCAAGGCAGGGAAGAAGGAGTCGACTTCATCCCAGAGTTTCAGCATAGCTGACAATCATCTTATTTAATTCCTCCTACATTTTCTCAGCCTCCTTCCATTCTTGAAGTGTCTCTTCTCCCCTGTGTCTCAGGACTCCTCTTCTTTTCCTTCCACATCAAAGCTGCCACTCATCTTAGCTTCACACCTCTCTATTCTACTCCGCTAATTCAACTCAATAAGAATGTCCAGGGCTCAGAGTTAAGCCATTGTCCAAGCTTCTTTCGGCATCCTTGCGGGAGTTTTCTTTGCTGGGTAAGGCAGCCTGCAGCCTTGGTCTTAGCTTTGGCCCAGGAACTCTTTGGAGGAGAGCATGGTGCTGTAAAGTCTGGATTAGAGGTGTATTCCCAGTGTATTTCATTTACTTCACGTTAGAATACTTTAAATCATGGTATATAGTTTATAGCACATCGTAACATTAAATCATGATCTGTTATGCATTTGTCACTCTGAAATATCCACAGTCTCTCTGATTTAGGGGTTTATCTCAGTCTGCCAGTGACATCATAATAACTAAATAACTTGGAGTCCAACAACCGAATACAATCCATTTTCATGTATTCCAACTTGTTTATTCTTGGTTTTTTTTCCTTTCCTTTGTTTTAGATGATGAGGAACTAGAGGCATAGAGGAGTCCAGGGACTAGCCCATGGGCACAGCTGAGGAAATAGTAGAATGACCGCATTTAGTTACAGGCAGAGGAGGGCTAGAACCGACAGTTGGCCCTATTATAAGAAAGTCCCTTTCTTCTCCACACCAAGATATGGTCACTTCTCACATCATTTTTGGTTTGAATGGCATTTCAGTTCTGCAAGCTATATCTAGCAGATCTTGACGGGCACTGCATCTAACACTGGAGGTACCAGAGTTACACGTAACTGATCTGCTCTAAGAGCTCACGGTCCAGTAAGAGATTTGGACACGAAACACACGATTATCACATGGTGTTAATGGTAGAAATACATACCAGGTAGAGCAGAAGGCCAGAGGCCAGGATATGAATAGGGAAAAAAATGTGTATATGTAGGAAATACATGCTTAAATACTATTTGTCATAGAAGAAAGCCAACACTTAGCTTTGTAAACAGGACTTCTTAATTCTCTAGTTTTAAAAAGTTAATGTTTACCTAATCAAATCATTTTAAACTACATTTTTAAATTATAAAAAAAAAGTCTAGTTAAACATAAACATTTGCATCATACATGTTTTGAGGATTTTCACTTTACCATTAGGTTTCAAGTTAATGACTTTTTTATTTAAAGAGGTAACTATTCTGAAAAACATGGCTAATGTAAATAGGATTGGGCTTGAAAGCTTAATTAAAGATTCCAATGACTCTTCAGGGTTAGAATATGTCCAATTAAAGTGAGGTGCAGTTTGATTAATTGATTCTGGATGTTTCTGCCGAGTTATTATGTTTCGAACTGTCTTCCAATTAATTTTCTGTCAATTTACCTGCCATACTATATCAGATATAATGAATTCCGGAACTTTGCCAACAGAGTATCTTGCGAAACGAATGCCTAACCTTTCCATAGGAAGGAATACAACTGAATTTGTTCACTTACATAACAGTGTCGGGATATTGCAGACAAATAAGAATGTGAGATGCTGAGCAGAGACTGAGTGAGCCCAATCCTTTCATCCTGTTCATTACTCTCTGGAAGTTAGTCCAAGTGACAGAAGCTATTGTCACAGAGTATGAGCTCGGTTTTTCCTATGCCAATTTTCCAGTACTTTTGTGGCAGGAAGACCTTTAATTTTTTAATGGCAAATTATTTATGTGCTGTGCTGGAATATTATTGAGGATTAATTGGGTACAACTGTATAATTCGCCCAAGGGCCTTAGAGAAAGAAAGAAATCAAGATCCTCATACTTCTCTTTAAAATTCAAAGTTATGAAAGCTTATCTGGCAGAGTATAGTCTCTCCCTGACCATGGCACTGTGGCAGGGAAAGGCAGCGAAGGCCCTGACCACACACCAGCTTGAGGCAGGATGGTGATAGGGCTGGGCTGGGCCCAGGACCAAGTCAGGGGACTGAAGGGAAAAAGTGGTCCTCTGTCTATCATGCATTGGGTCTACTCAGGCATCCTCGGGCAAGACAGGGACTGGCAGAAACGAGGGTACAGCAGTCCTCCTTTATCCAACGGTCACACGTTCCGAAAGCCCCAGTGGACGCCCGAAACCACGGATGGGTCCAAACCCTATGTGTAGCATGTTTTTTCTTATACCTACATACCTAGGATAAAGTTTAATTTATAAATTAGGCACAGAAGAGATTAACAACAATAACTAGTAATGAAATAGAACAATTAGGACAAGGCACTGTAACAAAAGTTACCGTAGATCTTAACAACATCAGCATAAGATTTTTTTTTTCCTTCCTTATTGAGAACTTTCACTTTTTCACTTAAAGGAAGCACTTTACAGCTTCTCTTTAGCATATCCGGATTGCCAGCATCACTATTTTTGTGCTTTGGGGTCGTTATTAAGTAAAATAAGGGTAACTTGAACAGAAGCACCATGATATCGTGACAGTCATTCTGATAACTGAGACAGCAACTAAGTGACTAACGGGTGGGTGGTGTATACAGTGTGGATACATTAGACAAAGGGATGATTCACATCCCAGGTGGGACAGAGGAGGGCAGCATGAAATTTCATCACGCTACT